ATGGTACAGAAACATAATAAATTAAATGAAATCTACTTCTTTTATTGTTTTAAAGTCCAGAAATCCACCAACTGGAGCCTGGTGCAAATGACTTCGATCTAAATGGATTCTGCACCTAAGCATTGTGTATAATAAAAATGGAGTTCATAACCCTTCCACATAAAAATTACCCCTGGTTACTGAAAACTCTCTTCAATTCAGCAGTATAAGTTTGGTAGTAGGAAAGTCATTGTGTTGCAACTGTTGTTAAAATGATCGGGAGTCAGAAGTTCTTGCTATTTACTGCAAATCTCCCAGAAATCTTATCTATTCTTGGCCACTTTTGCTGTGCTTCATGCAAAGGAGTAGAGACTCTGTTAATGGATGTCCCACTAGGGTTGGAGTCCGAAATCTTCCATTTGGAGCCTTGGATCCCTAGGAGGCAATCTGCCCCAACAAGTTTTGTCCATGGGCACTGGCCAGACAAAAATGCTCTCTGTTGCATCGGATCCCCTGAATTAGCTGGCTTTTTGCCTACATGGGCTTCCCCTCTTGCTGTCCTGCCCACTGAAATGAGTGAGGGAAAGGTAGTAGTGGGGAACTATAGCACATATGCAATTAGCAAATTTGTGCATTTTTTTTTGTCTTAAGGGCCTTAGGCCCAGATTTTTTCATTAGGCAACACTGCCTTTGCAAAGCATAAAAAAGTTTCCATGAGGCTGGATACTTTCCAACTTCTTCTAAAATGTAACTCCTTGTTTTGGCATGAAAGCCTCCAAAAGCAAGGCGGGCTTTAACGTCAGTTGAAAATTTAATAATGTGTAAATTACATGGAATTTGATTTTGTCTTTGAACAGAGATGATACCTGGCATTCTGAGCCAGGTGTTTATATGAAAATAAAGTGTCTTAGCCAAGAATGATCTTGTCTAATGAACAATATGATATATATTGCTGTAAACAGCCTTAAGGGATACCGTACTTCTCTTAGTGTTTAGCACCAGTTTTTGTAGACATGCAATGCATCAGCTTTGACATGCACAAACATGCACTTTTATACACAAAACTTGGTTTACATGAGTTCATGTGTAGAATTTGGATAAGAGAGTATCATGAAGTATTTACTATAAAACACTGCTCAACCAGTAATTTTAAAAAAGGTGGGCAAAGTTACTGGAAAAGATTATCATGGATTTTGACTGGTAGCAAATCTTCACGAAAGACTATGTACATTTAACTGCAAAATTTAAAATATATTGTCACACTGTTTTATAGCTGGGCACATTCAATTGGTGGGGATGTAATAAAAGGTCATCGGTATCTTACCTATGTCTGCTTCAGTACAAATACAGTATTAAAAAATTAATAGCTTAAGCCAGTACTTGCCTACTCAGATTTAGGTCCTATTGGCCTATTCTCAGGCGAGTAAAGGACTGCAGCCTAACAGCACAATCTTATACATGCCTATTCATTAGTATGTCCCCTTGACATACTACTGGGATTTATTTGTAAATGTGTTTGCAGGGATGAGGCACCTCCATTCCACAGGCCTAAGAGGGGATGTTCCTATTTGGTTCTGCTGCTTCTTCCTGGCTCTCCCTCCCTCTGTCCCCATCAGATAGAAAAACATTCCTCAAATGAACAGCTGACCAAATGCACATGGTTTCCTCCGTTTGTGTCCATTCGTACTACAAAACACCAGTCTGAAACCATCTTATGCACACAACACTGAAATCCATGATTAATATAATGGACAGGTGGTGGGGGTGAGAGCAATATAAACCACCATCAGCACAATAATACAAATGAATGCTTTTACAGTTTAAAAACTATAAAATATGAAATGTGCTCATCCACAGATATGCCTTTGTCTGATGCAGGATGAGGGGCAGGGGCTTTCAGGGAATCTCTTTTGGTCAGAGATAGTTCATTTGTTTGTTTGTTTAAAGCCTTTATATACCATTCTATAGTAACAACTCTAAGAACAGTGTACAATCAATACAATTATTTAAGACAGAGAATAACAAATCAATAACACATATTAATAACACTTCCAGAATAATCAAAAATGCTCAAATATATCAACAATTAAACAACCAACAACCAATGCATGTTTTATGCAACTGATACATGTTTTCAGGATGCTAAACAATTAAACAGGTAAATAATAACAACAACCAATCCATAGCAAAGCAATCATCAGATGAATAAAAACTAGTGTAAAAATCAAAACATCCTAGTCAACTCTTAAAATAGCAAGAGAATAAAACCGAACCTGGAGCCAAAATGTATAAAAGGTGGGTGCCAGGTACATCTCCCTGGGAAGCTGGTTCCATAGTTGGGGCACCACTGCCAAGAAGACCCTTCCCCTTGTAGCCACCTTCCTTAATACGTTTAAAGGTGGCTCATGGAGAAGGAGCTCCATAGATGATCTTAGGGTCTGGCTTGGTCTATACAGGAGCAGATGTTCCTCTAAATATCTGCGTCTTATGCTGTTTACGGCATTATACATCAGTGTAAGCAGCGTAAAGCAGGCCCAGACTTCAATTGGTAACTGAAGCTATTGGAAAAGGACAGGTTTTTACACATCTGTAACTGCCCATCCTTGTCAAGAGATGGGCTGCCCTATTATGTACCAGCTGAAGTTTCTGGACTGTTTCCAAAGGTAGTCCCATGCAAAGTGTATTACAGTAGACTAAACATGAGGTTACCAGAGTGTGGATTACCATTGCTAGATTCTGCCCATCCAGATAGGAATGTAGCTGATATATCAGCCACAGATAAAAGGTGCTCCTGGCCGCAGCTGCCGTCTGGTGCTCCAAGGACAACTCTGGGTCCAGGACTACTCCCAAGCTCTGCACCCCGTCCTAACATCTGACCGAAGCCATAGCCTACCAGCCACAGAATATCCAGTTTCCTGATGTTCTGAGGGAATATGGGTGCCATCGTTGCAATTGTGGATAAGTCCATTATTCAAAGCAACTTACTTGGAAATGGACACTTTTGTGCTACAGAATCAGTGATGGGGGGTGGAGTGAGGAAAGAAAACCTCTTTTAAAGACCTGAATGAAATTCCATTTCTGCTGCCTTCACCAGCAACATTAAGAACAGAAAACTTGGTGTGGACTCACACATTCAAGATGGAACACAATTAGGGATGTGGCCAACAAACTGGGAAAGGCTCCTGTGAACTGAAGCAACATGCATCCTACATAAAAGACAAGTATGATGCTGATAATTCTAACCACCTGTATGGCTTATTTCCAGTGTTCAAAGCCTGTGATGTGCATGACACAAGCACTAAAGATTCATGGCATTCTTACAGAGGAGCAGGAGGCCCTTTGCAACCTGAACTTAGGTTGTGGTTGCACTTCTGTCTTCTTATTGCATGCTGTGCTGTTATTTACCTACTCCCTAGCTTAATAAAGACAACATGGAAATGAACCCACTCTGTAAATGACTAGGATTACTAAGCAACCAGAAAAGTACACCTCTGGCTGGCTTTGGAGAGGCTGCCACCCCACCCCCCACACTATTAGGCAAAAGAGGGAAAAGCTGACTTACCCGTCTTGGCTGAGTTTCCATTTTTAGTATCTATATTGTGCATGCATCCTTAATTAGGATCCGGCCACCCCCAGCCACGCCTGGGCAGGGCAAGGAGAATCACGATGCATTATCTGTCTCAAGAGTCTGGTTGGTCTGATGGTGGTGGCAGCGGCAAGCATGAGGTGCATAACCCAACACCATGCGTCAGGCCAGTTTGCACACTCACTTGCCATCACGGCCAGCTAACCAGGCCAAGCCCTGCAGGAGAAGCATGTGCACAGTGTTCACAGGTGAGATTATGAATATATGACAAAGAATGAAGGTGTTCGATGCTTGTGTTTGTATGACAGGAATGAGAAATGCATGACAGCCAGTGTGGTGTGGTGGTAGAGTATTGGATTGGAACCCAGGAAATAAGGGATCTAGTCATTAAACTCACTTGGTGACTCTGGGCTATTCTCAGTCTAACCTACCTCTCAGGGTTGTTGTGCAGATAAATAGGAGGAGGAAGACTATGTAAGCTGTCTTGGGCTCTTTGTTAAAAGGGATAATGTGTGCTATAAATGTAATAACAGTATATTTATAAGTGAAAGGGGAAAGTAGGCAGCCAATACATGTTTCAGGATGCTAAATTACATAAGCATATAAGGCACATGTAGGCAGTGGCTGCAGGCTCACTGAATGTGTTTACTGTCCTTCTAAATGGGCTGTCTTACCATCCCTGCATCCCATCTGCAAAACGGACAAACATTTATCCCTTGTGGGGCTCTTCCTTTCCCCAGCCCACCTGGGGCAACATCTGCTTCAGCAGGCCACAGGGAGGAGGTGGCCAGGTGCTTACCTCCAAAGGGTAGGATATGGCTTGGAAAAGGACCAAGGATTTCTTATAGAAGAAATCTGTATTGTTCTACACACCTATATAATTAACCAGGAGCTTTCATATTTGGTGCCAGCATATTGTAGGTGAGAAATGACAATTGTCCTATCTCTGAGTGCCCAAGAGGCCTTCTGCATGTCATGTTGGTTCTAGTCCTGACCATGCTTTCTCCATCACCTCTTGACGTAACTCTTGCGGCCCAGGCATACAACATGTGATTTGAAAATGCACATCATGTTTCACCAGTAAGGCAGCAGGGATTAATCTTCTAAGAAAGGGGGTATAAGTTCCCTTGTTGTTTGTCTTGGGTTCTACTTTTGCCATCTCTCAAATAAAATATGGGCAGACCTCAGGTTACAAATGAGTTCTGTTTCCTGAAAACAGAAATTTGTTTTAAAGTTGAATTTGTATGTAAGTCAGATCACATATATCCGGCCTTCCACATTTGTAGGGTCAGGGTTGGGAGTGCAGAAGGTCTTGACTAAGTCATACTAATGTTGGTGTAAACTGGTTCCTAGCTTGCCAAGACCTTAGGATTGCTCTGCAAATTAGTCTTGAGAAGCAAATGACAGAATTAAAAACCACTTGAGCATTCTGAACTCTGAGTTAAAAGCAAGGAAACAAGTTTATGTGCAATAGCATGAGTAGATTATATATTGCAAGCAAAGGCCTCATGTTTTCTGTGACAATTAAGCAGTCTTTTTAATGGGATTGTTTAACTGAATGTCTTAGCAAAGTCTTTTTCAGTGATTTTATGCATTTCAGACTTCAGATTGCAAAGCTTCTTCGACGTAGTCCGCTGCTAGATTCATATGACAGTCCCTGAGGGCTTTTATTATATCACCAACTTTTGCTTCCTTCCCTTTTAATTTACGCCATTCTAGAAGTGATTTCATTAGTTGTTCTTGCAAGTTAAATGGATTGGCGGCTACAATTCTATCAATTTTGGCTTCAGAAATCCCAAGTTTCCGAGGCAGCTTTTTCCAGTTTTTTCCAACATGTTCACATATGATTTCAAAAGCTTTGTCCAGCTTATCTAGAAAAGAAATAGTTTGGGTCAAATCACTGATTCACAGGAGGGTATCTAATGTTATTCTCTAGAGAGTGCTCAGCGTCACCATCAAACACAGGTTAGCATTTGACATTCACTCAAAGTGGAACGCATGTAGTTAGGGCGCTGTTCCCAGTAACTGCCACTACTCAAAGGTTTTTCTTACATGAAGGTGGATACAGCTCCTGGCTAACCATAAATTTCATTATGTGTTAATCAGTTTCAACCTATGTTTAAAGATTGTCAACTAACAGCCTGTAGGCTGTTTTTAGTTCCTATCCATTGCCAGCCCTGCTTCCTAGTGAAGCTTCTTGAAACAATTCAAAAGGAAGAAGAGACACAGATAAGCTAGGCAGAAAGGGACAGACGGAGCATCAGTGCAGGCATGCAAGGGACCTCTCATTGCAATTTAGTTACTCTTCCTTGCCAGTTTCCCTAGAAAACCTGCTGTTAGGAAGGAAAAAATCCGAACAGGCTGGCTGGAAAACATCCCTTTCTTTCACTCGCGCCTTCAATCCTTCAGACTGATTGAAGAAGTATTTCTGATTTTTTATTTATTGGCATAGTAAATACCTGTTCTTTCTTCTGTATATGAAATAGGAATAGAGCAGCCACATCTTTCCTGGCAAAATTCTCTTAACATAAACAGGTGGGTAGGGTTGTTGTTTTTTTGGGGGAGGGGGATGCAGATATCACAGCTGATAGAAATAGGCATGCTATTTACCTAACCACCTTGGCTTGTTGAAGAAATACAAATGCTACTAGGGCTGCCAATGTTTTATCCAGCTCTTTTTCTTTTAATTTTAAATAACAGTTTGATCCAGATCAAGCTAAATTAGAAGAAAGAACCAGGATTTGCCTAGCCAGGAAGCCAGTTTAAACAACAGAGCTAGACAAAAGCAGAAAGTGGGTATCTCAATATTGTACAAAGTTTTTAAGTGTTGGGGTCATTTGGGCTTTGCCTCAGGCAGCAAAATCCCTTGGAACAGTACCATGTAGAATTCCAGTAGACATTCCTAAATATATGAATTCAGACAATAATACTATATACATTTTCATAGGAGTAAGAACCACTGAACACAATGAGAGTTCCATTTGAGCACAGATGCATATGATTAGAGGATCATATAGGTAGGCTGAACACAGCCCTTTACCCATCATTTCCAATAATTACATTGAAATAAAAGTTGGATCCAGCAAAGTGTGCCTGAGGTTTTGCTCATGGAAAAGAACGTTCACATCTTTCTTATGCACTGGTTTCCTGAAAATCTGCTCTTGGAGATCCTTAAGAACTGTCCAAACTTGGAAACAGCTTGCATGAGTTGAAGCATAATTCCCACTTGAGCAAAGCACCCATGATTACCTTACAGAATATCCCTATGTAGCAATTAAAGTTCTCCTGGTGTACTGGGCAGCATGTGTGCTTCCAAATTATGTCTTTGCTGCATCATCACTCTGCTTTATTGGAATTTTCCTAGGAGAAGACTGGAGGACAACATCTTCTCATTGCTCTCCTGTGCTTTCCCACCTTTTTCTTTCTGACCACAGGGAGAAAAACAGCATTGCTACACAACTGTTTCTAATTATTAGGGCTTGGTAGCTTGGAAGGGTCCCATGTAGCAATATACTATTTTGCCACACAGAAATGAGTCCTGCAGGACTAAGAGCTTGACAGCATCCTGTGTGTGTCTACCCAGAAGCAAGTACTGTCATGTTCAATAGGACTTACTGCTACAAGTTTTTGTGGAGTAAAGACCTCTTCATCAGGTTAGAAAAACAACAGTTTGACACTTACATTTTTCTTGACTATCCAGCTGATTCACTGGATCGTTGGTTGTACCTTCTTCAAACTGCGTCACCTGGGCTAGTAGATCTTCTCTTTTCAGGTTAATTAGCAGCTCCTTTAAAAATTCCACATTGTCACGTTTTATTTTTTCTTGTTCTATGAGATGGATGAAAAGCTCATGGCCGCTGTTTACATTCTGGAGCTTTTTTTTCCCAATGTGCTCCATACACAGAAACTTGAGAGTTGAAAGCTCATCTGGAGAAATGGCCCTTGATAGCGAGTTCAATAGTGCCAAAAATGGATCCATTACCAGAAAACCTAGGAAGAACAGGAGGGTTAATTTATTCTAGCGGAGTTGCCAATATTCGGGAATTCTTTTCGCTTGCACATCAATTTTTTTTTACATACGTCTGCATATCCTTGTTAACAGGCGCGAAAACTTCTGGCCAAGCAAGAGTGGAAGAAAAACCTGGTTTACTTAAAGAAATAAAATCCAGAACGATCGCTTCTTTGTAGGAAATACAGTCTAACTCTTGAGAAAGAACTGACTTCCAATGCACAATGCACCTGGGAACTCGATCTTAGCAACATTCTTTACTTTCTAAACTATTTCTAAACTATTTCTGACAAGTAACGTTTCGTGGGAATGATCTGAGCGATTGTTAGGAAACCGGGGGAGGAAAAAACTTTGGAAAACTCTACTTACTTCCTGGTTTGAACTTGCCGTCTCAACAGGCCGTAATACGAAGAAGAAGGAAGTCTTGGATCGCTTTTGGGACGCTCCGCCCATTCGCCAGTTTTGACTCTTTCCCGCGCGTAGTCGCGTCATCCACCCTCGAGAAATCGCCAGCAAGAGAACTGCAGAGCGCCCCCTTGTCGCTAGAGGGCAGTGTTTGTATAGCTTTCGCAGCAAGCGCCGGGAGTAACCAGCTATATTAAAGCGCTGCAAAGCCTATCCACCCTTAACAATCTGTATGTAGGGAGCACAAAGAAGGTAAAGAACTGCCTTTCTAGTTAAATACATGTTAAGTTAAAGGATTACAAAAATGCTAAGCACGTTAAATTCTTGTTTTTAATTGGACATTCTAATTGCACCAATCGCCCTAGGAAAAATCCTGGCACTCCTCTGGGACAAGTACTTGAAGAGAGCTATCATATACTGGCAGCCAGTGCAGTGTGCCAGTTAAGAGCAGGACTAGGAATCAGGCAATCTGGGTTCTAGTCCCTGCTTGGCCATGGAGCCAAATGGGTGGCTTTGGGCTGGTTACAGTCTCCCAGCCCAACCTACTTTACAGGGTTGTTGTTGCAGGAATAAGACTGAGAGCAGGAGGAGGACAATGATGTAAGCCACTTTGAGTTCTTTAAAAGAAAAAAGGTGGGATTTAAATCTAATGAATAAATATAAAATATCTCCCTATATTCTTCTCATGGCTAAGTACTCCCCATTCTTTTGCTCTCTCTTGGGCTTTGTTCTAGTCCCTTGATGTTTGTTGCTCATTTCTGAACCTTTTCCACTTTATCTGCATCTTTCTTAAGCTGTGGTACCCTGACACACTCAAAAGGAAGCCACCTCATTACTGAGGAGAGAGGAACTAGTACTTTATGTAATTTGGAACTGATACTTGTACTGATGCAGCTCAAAATAGCACTTGCCTTTTTCTGCAGCAGACTGGTATTGCTCTGTGTGTAATTTGTTGCCCTGTTTCAAGATAAAATGCCTATGCAGAGGGGGGAAGAATGGTTGCAATGTCATCTAAACAGTATAAATGCAATGTAGTGCTCCTACCTTTTTCTTTCCATGTAATGTGTAACCTGCCTCTTCACATTTGACATCCTGACCTGTTACACCCTCCTTCATATATGTGATGAAGTTGAGTTGGGGTTACTTTGTCCCTTCCACTGTTTAACAAGCAAAGAATACGAGATTTCAGCCAGAGAAGCACTGCTCGTGAACAACAGCCTATCTGTTTCCATCTGTGAAATGTTAAGAGATGTGATAGGCTATGGTGAGACTGTTTGGAGGACCTGTAGGCCCACTGAGAACAGCACAGATATAGTACCAGGGCTCATCAGACAAGGCTGGGAAAATTTAAACCATTCATGTGGCAGCAGGGCAGTATATAAAACAAGACGAGTGCCGCTGTTGTTACCTGGGCTTGGAAAGACACTGGTAACCAGTGCAGAGGGTGCGGGATGCATGTCATATGGTCTGACCATGTCGGTCCCCACCAGCACCTGGGTGGACAAGGTGTTTTGTGTATTGCAATGCAGCCCCATGAACAGCGCATCACCGTTGTCTGGACTGGACAACTAAGGCCTGGCTAAGCAGAGCATGATCTGGTGTTTCCAGACAGGGGTCCAGCTAGCATACCTGCTTAAACTGGTAAGCCCCTCTTGAGGAGGCCACATGCACTGGAGCTTCCTAGTTAGCACAGGGTTGGGAGGTTCCAGACTCCACAGTTCCACCTTCAGGAGGAGTGCGACCCCATCCAAGATCAATAATAAACCTCTACTGGGAGTAGCAGGTTTCCAGACCCGCAGTACTTTTATTATTATTATTATTATTATTATTATTATTATTATTATTATTATTATTACATTTCTATGCCGCCCCTTGCCGAAGCCTCGGGGTGGCTTACAACACAATAAGATACATTGAAATACAATAGAACATAATAAATTTTGTGTTGTCTTAATTCTCAGCTAGTTCACACTTCTTCACCCTAGAAACTGGTTCGAGAATTCCATAGCATCCCTGGTATGTGTAGGTGGAAAAGAGAGGTAGAACTAGCTGCCTAGGAAGGCTTTGGCAGATATGAGTGGCCTATAAATACACATATAAATAAAAAAACAGGTACTATCTGCATACTGACAACTCATCAGTCCAAAGCTTCAGATGAATTCTCCTCATGGTTTCAGGTAGAAACTGAGAAGATGGGGGCCAGATGAAAGCCCACAGGCCAATGGCTATGGAATGGCACAGAAGTCACCCAGCACCATTTTCTGTGCATCTAATTATGTGTTCTACCAAGTGCATCACTGGAGTTCAGCCTACCTTGTGTGTGTGTGTGTGTGTGTGTGTAAAAGCAAAATACTGTATCTGGATTAAATTTAGGTGGCACGGTGCTAAGATGGACTTGATCCTTTCTGGACAGTGGGCTCATGGCCAAACTACATAGTCTGTTAACTGTCTTGCGCATGTTGGCCCTAAATCTGGATTGAGAGCATAGCTCTTCAGGAGAGGAGGATTAAACCTTCCTCTGTCCTGCCCCAACCCAAATTCCACCCCCACTTATTCTTTCCTTTTTCTTTATCTCATCTATTCCTTCCTTCCTTCCTTCCTTCCTTCCTTCCTTCCTTCCTTCCTTCCCTCTCCCTCTCCCTCTCCCTCTCCCTCTCCCTCTCCATCTGTGTGTGTGTGGGTTTGAGAAAAGCCAGTTGGAAGGAAGCTTAAACCTTCCTCCCCTGAACTGCCAGAGTCCCAGTCTGGATTGGAACCACTTGTGCTTATATGAAAGTGAAGAAAAATGCACTAAACCCTAGCACAAGATAAGTAGAATGTGTTGTTTGGACTTGAGACTATTTCCAAGAAGGGCTGGTTCCACTTTATCATCATGCCTCCTAAACTCAGTTCAGAGAAGTGATCCAGAATCATAGTCAATAGTGTCAAAAGCTACTGAAAGATCCAGAGGAACCAAGAGGGCTTCAGGCCCCCTAGCAAAAGTCATCCACCCAGGCAACCAAAGCTGTTTCCATCCAATACATGTGATACAATTTTAGGCTTGGATTAACCCCTTGCTGCTATATTGAGGCAGTAGTACAGCTAGAGCTGGACTTTGGGGCTGGGGTTCAGCAGCTCTGGGGGGCCTCCCAAACGGAGAGTGGCAAAGAGGCTTGGGGGTCGCCACCTGGGCCAACAGAGATATGGCCAAAACCTACATTCTTGCTGCAGCGTGCGTGCGTGTGTGTGTGTGTGAGAGAGAGAGAGAGAGAGAGAGGCTGGGAGAAGGAGAGGGTTGTGGGTGAACAGCCACACATGATTGTTCATGAAAAGAAGGCATGATGCCTGGTTAGTGAAGCTCACTTATTTTCACTTTAAAAAAATACGTTCCCTTTTGAACAAAATAGACTTTTCCCCAAGGAAATGTGTTTAGCAACAGGGCAGCAGAAGCAAACTTCATTTTATTTCTGCAAAAATAATGTCACTATTATTTAAATGTGTTTTGAATGCAAAACTAAATCAGGGTTGATAAATGGATCAACTGTGAGGAATAAAGAAGCAGCTCTGCAGCATGAAAAGGCTGGAGGCGAATGGGCAGTGGTAGTTTGCAGGTGCTTCGAATAGCAATGCCATCTTGCGGATGTCGCATGGTCATGGCAAACGTTCGTTTTATTTTGTTTTTTCTAATGAGGAGAATCTGGTATATCTCTGCATTGGGCATGAAGCCCTTCTGCATTTGTGCAATTCTGCTATAGCATAATGCCACTTGGTGGTTGTGTACTGGAACACACAGAAGAGCAGAGGAAGAAAAACCCCGCAAGAAGGACACATGTAGATGCGATTCTTGATCCCATGAAGAATCCAGAAGCAGAAGCCTCGGTAAAGTGGTGCATTAAAAGCCTCATGTGGTAAAAACTGTTGAGGCAATTATTATTTCTGTTTATTGAATTTGTTTGGAAGCCATCCTTTAGCATCACACTCTCTGAGTGGCCAATTAAGGCAATTGAAGGACAATTTGAAGGACAATGCTTCATGAAAGAATACATTCTGAGAATGGATTTGATGAACTTGACTCTCAGACAAAGGGGGTAGCATTTATAACACGTGTTATAAGGCTAATATTTCCATTAAGCTGCCATTTATCATGGAACGTTCTCATTGATAGGGTATCAATATCATCAGCTCATTCAAATGTAAGAGCCATATTTATAGTGATTGCAAATCAAATTATTGTTTCCCAGACTGCATTAATAATCAAACAGGTAAGAACCAAAGTGTCATGGCAAATACTGGACTAGGAGCTGCATATTCAAGATTTATTTGGATCTCTTTCAGGAAATGAGTAGATGCAAGACTACCTTGTTAGATAAGAATATATACTGTTTGAAGACCTCCTTGCATTAAATGAGAAAGCATATGGGATTTAATGAAGGAGGCTTACAGCCAGAAGTAATCCTGCCTGATAAGAAACACAGTTGGTTTTCAATTAGCAACATCAGTTGAAATCCAACAGAGGGAGCTCAAAGATTTATAAACAAGAAGGACATTTCCAGTTCCATCTTCAGAACAGCCTTGTAAAACTAACTCCTGTTCCCTTGTATGATAGCCACTGCTTTGTTTGGGGGTTTTGAAAACACTTTTCTGTGCAAGGGGAAAATGACGCAAGAACTAGGGTAGCTATATCTCTTACTTTACAAAGGACAGTCCTGTAGTTCAACGCTGTCCAAAGATGGTCCTCTACGGAAAGGCTATCCTATCCAAGTCTGGGTAAGAGATAACCATGAGGGAAAGGAGAAAGCACTATGGGTGTCATCTGCATACTGATGACAACAAACTCACAAACTCGGGATGATTTCACTGAGCAGGTACTAGATGTTAACACAGGAGGCAAGATGGAAATGAGCTGGTTCCCATCAGGTAAGTGTCATGAGGTTGGGCAGAAATCCTCCAGTGCTGCCTTTTCATATTGACCTTCCAGTTCAGTTAGCAGGGCTGCACTTCTCCTACGATGTAGTTCACATTGATTAACCCAGAATTGGTGTGGTCATGCATC